GGGGGGGTTGTTGTTAACGAAATGTTAAATTTAGGTAATCCAATAACGATTCTCAATTGAAGAAGCCGGTCTCTTTGCACCTTCCTGTCTGATGAATTCCTTTTAGTACAAGGCCGGTAGCTAACTTATGAAAATCGCTTTTATCATTCCAGGGCGATGCCTTTATATTTTCAAAGATAATTTATCTACTTTTACTTGTGTGTGTGTGTGGAGGGGGCGGGGGGACTTTCCACACACACACAATAGCACATTGTGATTTTTAAAGTTGTTTCTTTTTGAAAGCATCCTTGCATGCCCTATGGTGTTGTTTCTATTCAACTTGTGAGATTTCATGTTTTTATCTTGGTGTTTTGTCAAGTCAGGGATATGCCTAGGGAAAAGGATGTTAGCGAATTGAACGCTGTGTCAGAGAAAAACGGTTGGCTGATTTATTTTGGGTTGTTTGCCCAGGGGTTTTCAAGACTTCTATATCCTTCAAAGTTGTTTTTCTTTCTTTCTACAAAGACCTTGTTTATTGCATATGGTCTGCTTATCTTTATCTTCTTAATGAGGTAATCTTGTCAGTACACGTCAGGGAATTTTGCTTTCACATGCTTTGTGGCAAACTAAGAAGGAACTAAATAGGAATAATTAAACTTGCCTAGATGTCAACTGTTAAGGAGTTCCACTTGGCTGTTGTTTATTTAGTGTATACTTTATCTCGATCCAGAACAAAGTTCCTGTGACATTTTCCTGATTTCCATTCCTTTTAACGATTGGCTGTTTACACAAAATGGCATTACAAATGTGCATTATGTTCGTTTCCATATGTTGGTATGTATTTAAGTGGTTTGGACGGTATAATAAACATTAACTGCAATTTTTTGTTTACTTACATTGGGTACTTCTTTTAATTGAACCTGATTGAAATTCCCCCACATTGCTCAGCTGGGTTCATTAATGAAAAACTTACGCGAACGAAAAATTCTACTCAATCCTACTAAACTTTAAATTATTTCATCCCGTATTTAAACTACCAGCTTCAACTTTATTTATTATTTTTCATGAAAAGTACATTAGCTAAATTCTTCAGTCGACCGTGTCGCCTATCACAGTTGTGACAGCTGAACAAAATACTAGAACTATAGAAGCAGAAACAGACTATATAGGGGGTGTCAGAAAATGTCTTCCCTCTGGCTGCTCCGGCCCTCCAGAACAGGAATTGTGTAAACCCATGCAAATGTACAAACACATGTTGTTTTTAAGTAAAGTATTTTTTCTGATAATATTCATGGCTTTCCACGATAAGTAGATCTCTTGATTCCTTCTAAAAGTGTAAGTTCACTTTCCTGCTATTTTGGTGCTGTTGTGTTGGCAATGGAGCGTTTTGTTGGACACAAGCGTAGACGCATTCATGCCTGTACAACCCTATCAACTGTCATGGCTGATTAATAATGAAGAAAGTTTTGTATGTTTATTGTATATAAATAGAATTTCCGCTGCGCGTTCTAGTTCAAGTTTGTAGTTATCAGTCACAATCATGAACGGCATCGCCCTGAGTGAACTCTGCTGTCTCCTGTGCTGCCCACCGTGTCCATCGAGGATCGCCTCTAAACTGGCATTTTTGCCCCCGGAGGCCACGTACAGCTATCAAGCAGATGAAACTGGAACCAAATTTTCAATGCATTTCACCGAGAAAGCCGAATGGCAGCATTCGGAGAGAGAGAGGGAAAATATCGAAGGCTTCTACGCCAGGACCTCCAGGGGTAATAAGATCGGCTGTATTTTCGTCCGCTGCTCCCCTAATGCAAGGTTTGTTATTTTTTTTCCTTTCCTTTGTGTCTTTACAACGTTGTATTTTGAATAACTTTTCCATGGTTGTACTTATGTGGACTACAAAATTTACCCAAGTTTCCCTGAAACTGCTGTAACCCTGGTTCTGCTTGTTCACCTCATTCTTGTTATTACTCTGCTATATTTGCTGTAATTACCGAAATCTGCTATGTATTCCTTTGCCTTAATTCTTTTATGTGCAATTTTCTTTTTTTAAGTTAATGCATTTTATCATTACAAAATTATACATTTGGTTTTAAAGCCCTCAATAGTTGTTAGCCTAACCCACTTTGCATTCTTCTGACTTGCTTTGTACGTCTCGTGAGATAAGACTGTTTGTTTATATCTTTGTCCTTTATTTTGCAGGTTCACAATCCTTTTTTCCCATGGAAATGCAGTGGACCTTGGTCAAATGAGTAGTTTTTACTGGGGTTTGGGGAATAGGATTAACTGCAATATCTTCAGTTATGACTATTCAGGTTATGGTATTAGCACCGGGAAACCCTCTGAGAAGAATTTGTATGCTGATATTGATGCTGCATGGCATGCTTTGAGGACTCGTTATGGTATTAGTCCAGAGAATATCATTTTGTATGGCCAAAGTATTGGCACAGTTCCAACAGTGGATCTTGCTGCCCGCTATGAAGTTGGTGCCGTAATCCTCCATTCACCTCTCATGTCTGGAATGAGAGTTGCATTTCCCAATACCAAACGAACTTGGTTTTTTGATGCTTTCCCCAGGTAAGTCAGCCTCTTCAATCACTAAAATAAGGTTCTGAACTTCATTTACATCAATTAAGAAGTATAGCAATAGCCATAAATTTTTCTCTTTTGAGCTTAATGTTTGTTGTCTTTTCCAGCATTGATAAAGTTCCTAAGGTTACCTCACCAGTGCTGGTTATTCATGGCACTGAGGATGAGGTAATTGATTTCTCTCATGGATACAACATTTACAAGAGTTGTCCTCGAGCTGTGGATCCACTTTGGGTTGAGGTAATGTTCACAAATTTCTGTAGAGTTTTTTTTTTCTTCCTGTCAAGTCCTCTCTTAATCTTAAATTTTTCTTTCTGTAGGGGGCTGGTCACAACGATGTAGAGCTTTTTGGAGCGTACCTTACTCGTCTGAAGCAGTTTGTCTCTGAGGAGCTTGTCAACTGACAGCTGCTCCCGGCCGGCGGATCGTCGTCGGCCACCACTACCGAGACGACGGTGAGCGACACCACATCGGGTTCTGTGACAGAGAAACTCCTTTAGCGGCACGGCCTGCCGGCCCAAGCGACAGCCAGAGCCTCTTCTACGGCTGCTGCGTCCAAGGCCGGCAAGGGCCAGCGCCAGTCCCCTCCCACCTCTGTCCTACCGCAAGCTAGAAACCTTGCCACTGCCTCCACCACCTCCATCACCGAGCCCGGCCCCGTGCGGACCTCCCTGTCTCCTCGTGTACGTTCTCCCAGATCACCAAGGTATCGGCGCCGTGCTGGAACCAGTCCTGGCTCAGCTTCCACCCAGGCTCCCGTTGTGGCGGCAAGTTCAAACTCTCTGATGGGCACAAGCTCAGGTTTGACTCGGGGCTCAGGCTCCAGCTCAGCTGAAAGCGTCGAGGGAAGTGCACGCCCAGCTTTGAAAGCTGACCCCGTGTGGCTAATGAGGTTACCGGGAGGGTCTGGTGGTAGCCCCAAGGCATCGAAGGGACCTACCACCGCTTCTGCCACTGCCCCTACCACTGCCCCTAAAACCGTACCTATCTGTACCTGTGAACCTCATGAATGGGAGAATTGTAAGTGTCTGGATCGCTTGTTGGCCAGGTACCTTAGCCCACAGAACTCACCCCCTTCTTTGCGTCTTGAAGGCAAGCCGTTGTCAACTTCGGGTACAGTTTCAGATGCTGGTAAAACTACCCTGGAAACAACGTGTTAAAAGCATCGTTGTTTCCTTTTGATGCATGGCAGGATTTGTTGAATGATCATTTTTGGTTGATTTTCTTAACTGTGATTTGACTGTTTAGGAGTGAGTCCAAACAAGAGGTTGCTCTTACTTTTGTCAATGGGAGCTTTTTCAAGAACTGATTATTTGCTGTACATGGCTCCTCACACCATGTTACGTTGAGTTAACTCTCTCTACTGTTGGTTTTTACTGACTGTGATTTCCTTCTTTTATGGAATTTCATTAGTGTGTGCAAGGATTCTTCACGACCAGTCTCTAAAAAAGCTTACCCCATCTTTATTTCCTTTAAGCTTGCAATTTCATTTATAGATGATTAAATATCAAAAGGGGTCTGGAGAAGTTAAACTCAGGGTTTTTATCCTGATTCTAATAATTTTTTCGGAAAACAATAACATTTCATATTCATAAAACATTTTCATTCACATGGCAGGAAATAAATTACATTGCTTCTCACCTGCTGAATTGGGGGGATGTCTATTTTCTTCTAAGGTATATAGAATGTTACTAATGTGTTATAATTCAAATGGAATAGACAAATTGACGTATTTTATGAAGGGGTTTCATTTGTGTTGGTATTTGTTTTATTTTTAAATGTAAAGGATAATTTATTGAACTTTTGTGGGATGCAAAATCATTTGAAACTTGTTTTGAGAAGTGTTTTTTAGCTAGTGGATATTGTGTACTGTGAAGGACAGGAGCGTTACTATATACCCTAAAATTTTGTTGAAGTCATTGCCAACATGTAAGTTTATTACAATAAATCTATCTCAGCATGTTCTCAAAAGATTAATTTAATAATGTGAAGTTGAGTTTGTGTGTGTGTTTGTGTTTGATATATCTTGTGAATATGATCTTGATCTTGTTGAGTATATGTCTGTGCTATAATAAGTCATTGCTAGATTAATAGGGGTTAAGTGAGTTTGAATTTTCCATTTAACTGATGGTTGTCAAGAAGATTGTTGCGGCTCACACTTTGGAACTGAGTTAGGAATTTTTGTACAATTAGTACTGTATTTGGGTAATGGGACCCTGCTACTGAGTGGCAGATCACCCCTGCATTTAATCTCAATTATTCCTGTTAGGACTGTTATCAATGGATGAGGGTACTGCTTTTAACCTTATCTTGAAAAGGCTGACAAAGATTTCTTTCCTGATGTTTGATCTGTTTGTATGTATCTTGCTAGATCTACCTCAGCATTGCATCTATGTCTGTAACGCTGAAGGCAATAATTTAGTGCTTTACACACAAGATTGGTGCCAAGTTTAGGTTGAGAGGCTGGTAACTCAACAGTGCAAGACATGTGCATTTTAAGTTGGCATTGATGATTATGTTTCTAATCTTACACCACTTTTCTTTACCAGTTTTTCTTTTTTAAATTGATGCTCTATTTAATCATTTAAAATTCATTGTTATTGTTTTCTGATGTTGGTTCTGACTTTTAATTTTTTTATCTCTTAACTTTTGTACTGGTGGCTTAAAGTGCGTTGATAACATTTGAAACAAATCTGGCTTATAGTAAGTTCATATCTGCAAGACAAAATTGTGTTTTGCCTAATTTTCATGCAGAAAAAAAGACTTCATCAGATTTCTTTTAAGGTAATACCTCATGTGTCAAATTTAGCGTTTAGATTGGATTTCAAGCAAGATAGAAGGAGTTTCTTTGTTTAATCATGTGTAGTAGCTTCTTGGATGTTTTTCGCTCTTTCACTTGCATTATTCCCACTCGTATCCATATTTTTGCACTGTGCCAAAAGATGGAAGTTGACTTACCATTTATCAAAAGGACCTTAATTTGTGCTTGAGACATCCCTCTTCAATATTGCTGCAACCTTTCTTCATGTGTGTAAGATCTTTTGATATGTAAATAAGTTGTTATTCTATGAATTTGTTCATTTGCAAAGTGAGGCTGTGGCCTCAGATAATCAACTTTGCTTCACCTAGGTATCCACCCATTATTTGTTGTGAGTGAAGTTAGAGATCTCTGTTGCTGTTAACCTGACTTTAGGTTAGTTCCAAATAAAATATAATAAAAGCACCTTTGTGCATGACTGTATTGAGCTTTCACAACCTTTGTGTATTTGTTAGCTATGCAAAAGTTAGTGACTAGAAATTTAGCCACATGAATTAAATGGTCTCTCAAGGCAGGGCTATCTTTCTGTTAAAGACTCCCCTTTTTGTTTTCTAGTTCCTTTTCCCCCCTCTGTTAAATGCTTTATAAAAGTGTTATTTTGTGTGTGTCCCCCCCCCCCCTTTTTTCTGTTTGTGAAGCTGCGTATTTAGTCTGGCCGGAGAATAATGAAAATTCAACAATTTTTAAATTGAAAGTCGCTTTTATTTTCTCCCCGCCCCCCCTTCTTTTACCTATTAAGGATTTGTGACTCGGTGCAATTAAATAATGTATTCTTACCATGATAGTCTTCCAAAATAAGTTTGCAGTTCCCATCCCTAAGCATGTATAGTACATACTGTACCATTGTGTGATTGGTCTGTAGATTCTGAAAACCTTTGGTTGTTTTGCAGAAAACATTTAAAAGGAAGTGTTTCATTTGTCTTTACTAGAATTATTTTGTTTTTTCCAAAAGTGCTGTTAAATATTCATTTATGTGTTCATTGAACACTTCATGCTTTCAAGATTTTCAAATTTGATTGATTTTGTGCTGCAAAATTCTGTGCATATTTTTCTTAATCTGACTTTTTGTTTTTTTCAAGTAGATTGTGTTTGTGAATGAATTGTGTCAAATTGGGGTTAGTAGCTCAGTTTTCTTTGGCCTCTCATGAGTTTTCTAACTTTTTATCAGTATTAAGAGGGTTTTCAGAAATTGGGAGAATATCCATATTAGGTAGTTATTCAGAATTGGAAAGTTGTGAATGGTGTGATGGAAGTGAAGTATGTACTTAATAACAACAGAGTTAAACCAATTTCTTTTCAAGAAAATTATTTATTTGGTTTGTTTTCCTGAGTGATACAGTTACTACCTCCACCTCATTGAAATCTTTTCAAAGTAAGAGCTCTCTAAAATATACACACAACTGAGCATTCAAGGTTGAAGTAAATTACTTTGCTGTTGCATTATTGTTTGAAAATGATATTATGTTTATTCTTTTTGTCATTCTGTCGGTAACAACTGGTTGGTGGCATACTACAGCAAAGGTTTATTGTCAATAACAAATACCTCTCAATTTTCGTTTTGTTTTTAGATGTTGAGAGATGTTAAATTTTTGGGCAAAGTGATATTCTTTGAAGTTTGGGACTTCATGTTACGATTATTTTTAATCGGTGTGTTGAAGAAGTTGTGGGTTAATGTTTTATTTAGACGCTTGGGGGAACAGGGTGTTAGGCACATGATCCTTGCCTTTCAAGATGTGTAAGTTTTCTTGTATTAGTACATTAAGTTGTTTTTATTGATGAGGACTATTGGAGTCTTTTTATACCAAAGAGTAGATGAGTTGGTGTCACAGTGTCCTGCATGGATTTTTTTTTCCATGGCGTCCCTATATGAAGCTTATTTGTGTTTGCAAACAGGCTGACCCTATCAGGAGCCTACAGGAAACACCCGCTGGCCCCCTGGCACCTTCAAGGCTAGGGGCCTCTGAAATTCATATGTAATATAAGTTTTGATTTTCTGTTGTAGGACCCTCACATCTTGCTTGATGTTCATGTGTTATGTGGCAGGATTGCTTTACTGTTACTACGTGATAATTTTGAGATTTTGTTGAACTTTATATCACTGGAATTGTTGCACCTAGGTGATTGAGACTTACATTCATCCAGGTTGGACACTGTGACACTAGCTTGCCTAATCTTTGGTACAAAAAGACTCATAATGCAGTCATGATTTTCTGAAAACATATGCAATTTAATCAGCACTTGTCAGCTTATCCAGTGTAAAATCATTTTAGTGTATGCCATTCTTTGTATATGCTATGGTTAGATCTACCTAGGTGTATGGATAAACCTGGGTTTAGCTGGCAAAAGCTAGGATTGGTGACGCTATATTGGTAATCCTAGGAGTACCAACATGACACTTCGATTAAAAGTAGAAATACAAAAGAACAAAGGGGTTCGGCCACATTTTTTGATCTTAGATGGAGGTGTGTTGCATTATCTTTAAAAGTGTCAAGTGGCTGTACCTTGGATTAACAAAATTGCCTTGCCAATCCTGGCTTTGCCCAGCTAAACCTAGGTTTATACAGCCTCCTAGGTCTTAGGTCCAACCATGAACACTATTATATAAAATTGTCAAAGAGAAACATTCAGGTGGAAAGAACAATGATTAAAAGAGACTTGAATTAATTAATTTTTGTATCACAATAACTGCTTCTTTCACTCATAGAACCATATTATTTTGTTAAGATGCTTTTCATGTGTAGGCGGGCATCATGAACTATGTAAAATGTTCTATTTCTTTCTAAACACATGAAGTGACTCATTCCTTGTTTATGAATACTTATCAATTAAATCAATTTTTTAAGCTGTATTTTTTTTTTTTTGGTCCAATTTTGCTTTTCTTGTGTTTATGTTTTCTGTGTGGAATTATTTTATTTACAACCACTACAGTTGTTTTTGTATGAATCTTAAGCAACTGGTCTTTTGAAATAGGTGTGCTTTCTTAAACAGATTATTAGTTATAGCTTGTGTTCTCAGATCTCTCTTGAGGTTTGTGTTTGTTTATGTGATAATGGGGAGGTTTTAATACTTTTCGCTGAAAACTTCATACTCTAGTTTTCGCCCCCTCAGAATGTGGTTCAGAAAGAAAAGTGTGTCAGTGTATCATAATCATAAGCAGGTTAATCAACCATATAATAATGTTATTCTGAATATATGTGCAATCAAATTAAGTTGGTTGTGATTGGAAAAAGTAAAATGTGAATGTCCTGTTTCAAGCGAATTTTTTTAAATTATCAAATACAGTATTTTATACACTGACATATTATAACTCCTTTCATTTTATCCTTCCTGGTCATTTGCGATCCGCTCGGTGTCACGGTTTTCGCTGAGGCCCCCCTCAATTGATACTTGCGCCGTTTCTTCCTCCTCCTGACACTCTACCTCTTCATCCTGGACCACAAACATTAAAACAACATCCATGACAGCTTGTGAGAAGCAGTGAGTCTGGTTTCGTTCGGACTACACTGTTGCGCCGCCCGCTCCCGTACCGCGCCGTCTGTCCCTGGTGCCTGCAGGTGCAGCTGAAGCACGGCCCTCGACACGGCGAGGTCCTTCGGGTCCTTGGGTCGGAGGGGCGCGCGCCGGTCCTTCCACGCCACTAGGTCCAGGAGGCGGCGGCGGCGGAGTGCGTCTGGCTGCTCGGGGCCGCTCTCCCCCAACGCCGCGAGCATCGACGGCCACAGCTCGAGGCCTGCGCGCCAAGTGTGCAGGGAGACGAGAAGGTAGGTACTAACGAGGCAAAGTTTGGCGCCTCACCACCGGCCACCCCAGCCAGGGCGCGCGCGCTGTCCGCCTCCGCCTTGTTCGAGAGACTAAGCAGCTCGCAGGCCTGGTGGAGATGAGTCGTCGCGTACTGGGGCCGCGACTGCAATCCAAGGGGTAAGGGCAAGGACAAATCAACTAAACAACAACAACAAAAATCGGTTTACTCTTGAATTTACAGCAAAGCAACTTCATGACCCTCTTTGAACTTGAACCCCTAGCTGCAACCAAACTCGCGCGTCGTGAAAAAACTGTCTGGCCATCACGGTAGCTTCTTTGCGAGCCGGCCGTTCCACACACCGTGTTCAGAAAGTGTTCTCCGAGGTGAAAGTGCGCCTTGGCCAGGAGATCTGGCTGCTTGAGCTCCTCAGCGGCGCGGCGAGCGTCCCGCAGGGCGCCGTGCGTCCCGTCCATGTCCGACCGTCTAGAAGTGAGCAGGGCGCACGTAAGTTATCTCGGGTGTCGGCGAGGGGTCCTTCAGTAGAGAAAAAAACTGTACACCCAAAAATACCCCCCAAAAATTAGAAAACAATTTTTAAAAATAGAGAAATCCAGCAAAACCTCAGGAAATAATCAGACAACTTCAAGAAAGACAGAAAAAATTGATGTACGCTTTTATTTCTAGTGAAGGCCTCTTGGGTATCGGGTGCCACTGATCAGACTTGGTGCTCGCCAATGGCATACCTGTGGTAACACAGGGCCAGCTTGAGGTGGGCGGTGACGATGTCCTTGGCGCTGTCGGAGACCTTCGCTAGGGCCAGGAAGGTCCTGAAGGTGGCCATGGCCTCCTCCACCTGGCCGGCGGCGAGCAGACACTCGCCCAGCTCGAGCTCCGCCCTCAGCTCGAGCACCGGGCACCGCGCTGCAGGGGGCGGGCGTCTCAGCAATGTCCTCCATAGTCAGCCAGGAACTTTTAAGCCGTACCGTCGTGCGCCCTCTGCACCGCCTCCCTGCAGAGCGCGGAGGCCCTGCCGTGGTCGTCCTCGCCCAGCGCGCTCCTCGCCTCCAGCACCAGCGCCTCGCTGAGCGCCCTGCTCGCACCCCGGAACATGCCGCCGTCCGCGGCCGCGCTGGAGCCGAGGCTGGAGCCGGTGGCGCCGGGTCAGGACCAAGGCTGGCCGACAGGGCCCCAGGGCG